CTCTCTCTCACGCCTGACTGACAGGTGCAGCACTCGAGTGACGCTGTGGAGGAAGAGTTGCACTGATCCGGACGCGTCTGATTGCATTAGAGGAGAGCACTTAGAGCACTTTTGGAGACGTTGTGAATTATATTTAAAAAAAAAAATTGATTACAATTAAATGCGTTTTAAATGTAGGGCACTTACCTTTTGTTTGTCCATGGTGTCATACGTTGAAAGCAATCATTCTCATTATGAATAGTCCAATAATCCCGAAGGACAGTAATAATATTCCACAGCGAAAAATAATAATTAAATAAATCCTTCAAAGGGCGTCCGTTGAAAGCAGAAGTTACCCAGCACTCGCAGACCCGTGCATGCTGGCCTATAACAGAACACATGCGGGTTTAATGTAACAAATAAATCATTTAATTATCGTTCGGCTTCATGCACAGTGAAAATGCTAACTATTAAAAAGCGTTTAATAAACATATGCCTCACAGTCTCCCAATCTTTGCAGGCAGGGCAGGCCCACTTGCCTTTTGAGACAATAATTCGAGCTGGAAATTATTTGGGGATTAAACAATTTAATCACAATTTAAAATAAAATACAAAAAATTGTATTTGTTGTACATTTGTAGTTATTCGCCTGTGCACATCTGTCGAGCGCACTGGGTTGCAGAAGCGGAAGATGGAGAGAACACTTCAATAAAATAAATCCACATTTCTATGAAAGATGTGATAACTTAGTTAAGAAAGTAAAGTAACTTCGGGTCTCCAGAGGAACTGGGCAAAGGTCCGCGTCAACAGCGCTTATTTTAGGAGCACAAGGACATCAGCATTGAAATAAAAAGTCAAACGATCGCTTCAGAAATACTATGAGCTGTTCTGCGTGGAAACTTGTCTTTAGAGGTCTCGTTTCTGGCGCAAAAGTTATGTTTAAAATATGTATTTCAATAAGGAGTGATGGACCTCTTACCTCATATGGTGAATTATTGAATTTTTCTCTTTACTTTTCTTTTTTCTCTTTAGCAAACTTCTTAAAAACTCAACACAGTCCACTGCAACATCAGGTGTCTGAGAAATCAAAGTTAAGGAGACGGTTCGTGTGGCGTGTCCTCACACTGTGCTCGGCAGCTGCAGAACAAAGAGACTGCATCGTGTCTTTCTAAGTTCTGCAACAAAGGACTGAGAGCGACTGCTCATTGTACCTGTTGCTCTTTCACACGATCTGAACATTGTGCATCCACCTCGCGCTCACAAATCAACGCAGATGGCACCAAAAAGCATTGCATTTAATAGTGAAGGATTTAATTAGGACATTAAAAGCACAAGTATGCTGAATTATTCAGTATGTATTCATGCGCAGATAATTGGAGATATCGACCTCGTGATTAACTACTGCATCATCCGGAAGATTTAAGATAGCAATGCCCAGAGCTTCTCCTGAAACAAACTCGTCTTTCGTTTAGTATTAATTGTGAAATACTTCGCGTGCGTAATTTTCGCTCAACTTCCTTCGCCAATCAACTTTTGACAGCTTTGTCTTCCTGCGCCATCCTCAGTCCCACATGAGCCAAAAGTGGAAAATAACTCTCAGGCTTTTTAGTTTCTCCGAAATACATCCTCTCGTTTTGGCCGTCCACACTTTCTTCATATCTCATCTTCATCTATGGTTTGGGCATCTCGAGTCGCCCTTCAGCGCCCGCTGAACAAAGGACCGCTCCTCCGGCTTTGTGCTCAACTTTGCGAGCTGACGCAGCAACTCTTGGAGAACTTTTCCAGACACACATCCACAGACGAATCCGATCTGAGCGCGTGCCGATACCTCACCTGGGCGCTTCGCGAGGTCCTGGGAAACTTTCCCTGCGTGTTTGGGTTGTGTTGATGGTCTCTTTGTCTACACGTGTGAAGGGGTTCTTGGCCGCGCCTTGTTCCTTTCAGTTCGAGTCCCGCCCTCTACATACAACTAAATATCAACACCGAGAGCAACTTACTGGAGCGCTCGCGCGTGCCTGAGGAGTCGGTCAATTGGGCATTGTCTTGCTCTGCACGGTACAAACGCGGAGACACCGCGAAGAGCATTGGTTCTTTTACAAGTCAGTCGTGTTCTCCAAGGGTCTGTGCCACTGAAGGGTTCTCTGGGCACAAGGACGTGTCAGCTTTGCTGATATTTTACCCAAAAAACTGAATGGATTATGACTTTTTTTAATATATATATTTGCAGCAAATCGATGTAAACCATTGCATTTCATGGAGCTGTAATAACTTGTATTGAGACGCCCCATGAGAACACACTTAAACGTTAGGATAAATAACAGGCCCTATTTCTTAGCTGTGGTCATTTCCAGATCAAAGCTAAAGGTTAGGGGTTCTTTTACTAAATATATAGGCTACGTGTATCGGATAAGTTAGTTAGAACAAGTAGCCTAAATAAAACTTGTTTTGTTTAAACGCCTGTGCTAGGGGCATCAACAAACATGTATTTGTTTGTTTGTTGGTTTTCCGTGATATTATATTCACATCCGACCCCCTGAATGTCAGCATAGTGTTCACTGGTCAGATTAGGCCTAAGCCTGAGTCCCAGTCATCTCAATGACAAAAGTGTCCCAATACAGCTGAACTCACCCTGAGCATGACCGAGTGCTGACATTCTACACTTAAATGCGACGATGTAGGTTAATGCAGTGAAATGTATTTAACTATGTTTAATGTATAATGTCAACCAACACGTTTTGCTGCACTGTTTGAGTGTCCTGATATATGTTAGCAAAATACCGTCATTTTAAAAACAGTTCATTCAAACGTAATCTAATATATTATCAAATAATTATAAAATTAAGCTGCAGTGATAAGATCACACATAGTGTGCTGAAGTCAACAGATAGAGCTCTGGTTTAGTGTCATTCTCAAATCATTAATGCAAAGAAACCCCAAAAATATAGTTAGTTGCGCATGTGATAAGCAGAGCTGGTAGTAACTGGTTACGTAATCAGACAACAAAAAGCAAGAACTTGTAATTAGAGTAAATTACATTTTCAGATACTCACAATCAGACTACAGTTAGTTTTTTATTGCTTACATATTATTCACACAATAGCAATAAATTATTCATAATTCCTCTTTTTCATCTTTTAAATTTCCCTTTCTAAAATAGCCTACCACTTACTTGCACTCAGAAAATCCGGTTTTGTGGTCATTCAGAAACTAGCCGTTAGTCAGGTGACCACTGATTTACATAAATGAGATTTTAAAATAAATATTGTAATAATTATGCATCACATTTGCATGTTGACATTGGTTAATGGTCACATGACATGCAGGTAATTTTTTACTAAAGATTTTTTACTAAAAAAAGATTTGTTTTCATTTTACATTTTTATGATTCAATTAATTGCTAGCTTTTCATTAAACTCACAAACCCCCTGCAGTTCCTTTACGAACCCCAGTTTAGGACAGGTAATATTATATTTAATGCACTTCATGTAGTTACAATGCCGAATGGGATATATGTTCTTACTCTTTGCATTTTTATATCAGTATGGTACAAGATCATGCTTGAAATGAGTTTGAGTCGCATGTGTGTTCCAGAGATTCAAGAGGAAGGCGTGCCGTTTCTGAGCAAAGTCCGACTAAATAAAACACAATAAAGTTATTATGACTTAGAGAAGAGTTTTTAGTAAAGCGTTTAATTCACATGTGGTTAACATGAAAATCCAGATAGCTTAACACTGAGAAACTAGTAAGCTTAACTGATAAGGTGTATTTAATGATAATATAGGAATTTGTAAACGACAATTGTTGAGTTCATTAAGCAAAGTATAAAAACCTCTATTTAACATTAGTAGTTCATTCAGCTCTGAGCTATGGTTTGCTTGGCTTCAGATGACACGAGACTTGATTAAGATATGTTAAGTAACTCGTGTTTATGCATGTGCAGCAAATTTCCTCAAGCATTTTCAGTACTGTTTTATTTTCTCCCAAAACTGACACCTAAACATAAATGTCATTCTGAGAGAATATCTACCGTCGTTTAGTTGCAAATGCACTCATTTTTGTATTATAACATTGAATGCAAAACATAAAAAGATAAGATCTGAGAGTCTCAACTGAGCGTTTTCGTTACTCACCATACGTCTACAGTAAATATTAGACCTTCGGATACACATTATCTCTTGCAGTGACAACAGAGCCGAACTAATAGTAAGTACAGTGACAGCTAAATGCATTTCTAGGAAACACTGATCATTCAGTTTCATACTTACAATGCTGGCAAACTGACCATTGATAATATATAATTCTTAGTTTCTGAGTGATAACTACAATATTTGAAACTCAAAGATAATTGTGTTTATAACAAAGGAGCAAATTTACTGGATTACACCATTTGAACAATGAAACATGCATCACTAATTCATGCATCTTTATATTTTATTCCACCAATAGTATAAAATAGCAATACAAATGTTTATTATCATTATTATTTCAAAATGTTATCAGTTATAATAATGATGTTTTGTGACTGATCACAGGTAAAACACCATGTAAAACATGTTTAACACACGCATGTTTTTGCACTTTTTAAAGTGATATTGTATGTTGTTTACAAAAGCATAGTGTTACACACATTCATTTCACATTTACATTTCACAGTGTATATGTAGGACACACACTGTGCAAGAAACACTGGTAAACACCTTTTCAAACTGTGCTCCCGTCTTCAGTCCAGTTCATCAGCGTCCTGACAAAACCTTAATAGGTTGTATTTACACCTCAAGTGTTCTAGTTAGTGTGCGATCAGCATCATCACACTATACCTCAGGAACAAACTGTGCTTCAGTTCAAATGAACTTGCTCAACCTTCATTTAATATGCAGATATGCACTGTATTTCAAAAGGATGGGATTAGTAGAAGCTCTTTTACATTTGAACACATCAGTGTCACAGAGTCCTGTGCAGTTTTAGAGCAGGATGCCGCTGTATTTGGACCTTTTGGATTTATTATTATTATTATTGCATGAAGGCCATTTGACACATTACAATAAACACATTCAGTACCAAACTGTATACAAAAAGGCAAACTGTATATTTAAAATATCTTATTGACAATTGGACATACAAAATCGATCTTGTTCATCCTGAAAGACAGAGCATAAAAATTAAATATAAATTCAATAGAATTCAATAGTTCAATATGATAGTAAGATTAGTCATAGTGACTTATTTCATGGGCCAGTTGTTGACAAAAATATAAAATTCATAATTTCATAATTAATGATCACTTACACTGTCTGATCCCACGTCATTGACTGAAACACAAAAATCAAGATACAGTACACTGTAACTTTTCCTGCATTAATAACCGTATTCTATTTGCAGAAGCAACAACAACAGATCAGTAAAAGGAAGCAGGTGTATTCTCACTTTGTGCAGCACTGCTTACAATCATATTTTAGGCTTATATTTGGCTACACATCATGAAATATACTATGAGACCGGCTCTGCTGTGATTGTGTAAGGCAATGAAAATGGAGAAACGTCTTCTTTTACACTCTAGTGGCTGCCAGAAGTGTCTTATGAAAGATAAACCGTTTTTTCTTTTTATGGAGGAAACAGTAATGTAATGTGCTGCCTACAAGACAACGACTGCACCCACGCGAAACCGCACCGAGGCTACTTACAATGTAATATCTGAGCTTTCTTTCTCTGCAGTCCTCAGACACAGGCAGGCAGGTTTCTCTCCACTTCTTGTCTGACACCCCTCCCTCTGGAGAACAGATCTGGCCAAAGAGCCCTGCTGAGCTGCTCATCGGCCGCTCTGGAAACTCCCACACCACGGCCAGAGCAATGTGCACAGACTGAACAATGCAGAATCTTCTGTTGGGCGTGCAACAACTGCAAAGCTTCGTTTGAATGCATGCACTTCCAGTGCCACTTGGTTTGTTTATATGCATTCTTAAATGTAGTCACATTTATTGCACTGTCCGTGTGGGTGCAGTTTAATGGCAGTACAGGAGAAATATTATGCATGCAGTCGTTAGCAGCCCATCCCCCTCTCTGAGAGCCCAGACTGTCTGGGGAAGGGGAGGGAGAGTCTGCCAGACAGCCAGCCAGTCACTGAGTGCATCAAGCCACATGGATCACCTTGCAGTGCGCTCTGTGGAGATGCGCCTGTGTGCATTCATAATCAAGGCACATGCGAACTCCAGTGACCTGGCACACGCACATTAAATTACTGTCACCGTGAGGCGTACTGTATGATGACCCGCAGACACTTATACACTTGCTCAGATATAAAGGCCACTTACAGTAAGCAACGCACAGCTGCTGTTACGTGAGCGTTAAAAAATCGTTGAGGCAGGTAATATGTGCTTTGCAAGTCCAAACAGACAAGGCAGACGGTTCAACTGGAGCACAGGGGACACGCCCACTTATGCAAATGAGAAAGCGAGTCAACGGCGCAGTGTTTAGGGTTCAGTTCCAGCTGAGTTTATTTCCTTTATGAAAAAGTTCTGTACAGGAGTATATGAACAATCTGACAGGCAGTGACTTGACACAATAAGCTGGCATGTGTTATGGCATGATTAGACAAAACAAGATTTCTACACAGCATATTGCACAGAATGGATGAAAATAAAGTTAATATATTTCAACTGTATATATAAAAATCCTTAACGAGCATCTTGAAATTAAGAGAAGGCTAAGCAAGGATGTATAAAGATAGTGCCTGTCGAGATAAAGCGCAACAACATACATAAACACACCATCGTTTTGCCTATGATACAGCTGTACAAAGATGCTGTTTTTCTTCTTTTCTTTCTTTTTCTTTTTTTTAACACAACAGCTATAAACCTGAATCGGAAATACAAATCTATTCACCATGCCTTAAGATACTAAAACAATTAGCTATACTTATCCGACAAGTAGAAAAGATTAAATATTCAAACACAATGAGGAACGCA